GGTGCCCTGACCTGGGAGGGCGGGGAGCTGTGAGTAAGGGAGGGTTTCCTGCAGAGAGGACACTGGAGCCTAGAAAGAGGATGCATTTGGCAGAAATGGTATTTCCAGTGGAGGGACAGAAGGAATAAACCCTAGAAGCAAGTGGAGTGCAGTGTGGGTGTGTGCAAGGACCTACATGGCGCACGGCTTCTGGGAGGCGAAGCTGGCATCTGGGGGACAGAGGACTCGTGGGCCTCCATTTGCAAAGGGTGAGTACACATAAGCTACCCGAAAGCTGGACTTCATCACAGAAGCTGGAATTCAGGGAACCCGAAGACATCCGAGGATAGGCTTCAGGACCCCCGGCACCCCCCTGGAATTGCATCCAGAATTTTATACGCACATATGTTTCTGGGGAGAGTGTGCACAGAGAGAATCATCAGATTTCTGAAAGGAAGGTTAAGAACCACAGCTGCGGAGTCTCTCAGGTGTTAAGACAGACGTGAGAGGCCTGCCAGGTATTTCAGAGGGATGGTGGTGGCGTGTGGGGGGTGGCAGGGCCGACCAGTACAGGAATCCCAGCGGGTGGGGGAACAGGGTGAGGTCATCGGTTCCTGATAATCAAAGTTGGACTCCAGGCCTGTGTGGAGGTGACAGTGTGTGAATTTCATGAGGTGAATCATCACATCTTCTCTGGGCGACTCGGAGTTGAACTGCTGGAAGGTTCCCGGCTCCTCCCTCAGCCTGGCCTGGCAATGCATGGGGCTGGGTCACTGGCATCCTCCACACGTGGGGGCCACGACTGCCTCGTTGCCAAGGCCAGCCCCTCATCTTCTCTATCCACCTGGCATTCGTGTACACAACCCAGGTTTGAACCAAGAAGTCCGCAGGCCCAGCTGTGCTGAGTGCCCTCAGGCAGTGCGTGCGTGTGGCTCCAGCTGCCTGTCATCCTGCCGGAGGCCCTACTATGGACATGAGCTATGGCCTCAGCCTAGAGGTCATAAAACACAAGTGTGGACTTTGTCCCCCGTCAACAGGGAAGGAGCTCCTGGGCTGAATTCTAACTTTCACCCCAAGACACTTGACAAGGTCTGGTTTTCAGCAGAGCTCATCGCCAGCTGGTTCATGAGACACACTTTCCTCGCCCCAAGAACACTCTCCATTTGCCACAGGTTCAGAAGTTCTGATGACTCAGAAAGCTGAGGATTAAGTCTCAGGGAGAAGCCTCTTGCTGCCAGGATGGACAGGTCTGTACCTGCACGTGGCTCTTCAATAACAGGGAGTGGCCTTCATTTGCATTGGCTTCTGGGAACTTCCTGAAGATGGCCCCCAAGCCCCTGGAGGCCAGCACCTGCGCGAGGACTCGGGACTCGGGAGTGGAGGAGGAGAGCGATGAGCAGGGAGGAGTAGGGGTGGGGTGATTCCGGATGCTCCCGAATCAGGGCAAAAAGGCACTGGGTTTGGACCAGGCGCTCTGGGCGCCCTCCCTGTGGGCGCTCTGGGCGCCCTCCCACTGGCCCTTACCTGTGGGCCTGGGGCTGGCTGAGAGCAAGGGGGGCACCAAGTCTAGGCGGGTGGGGGGGTCTTGAGAACGGTGAAGAGGGCTTGCTTCTTCTGGGTGGGTATGAGGGGGAGGATCCAGGTGCCACTGTTGCCCCCAACAAACCAGTTTGGTGGCCCCTTCCTTGGCTCCCAGGGGAGGAACCAAGTCAGGCTGCCATCTGGCCCTCTTACCTGCCCAAATACCTGAGCACCTACCGGGGCTGGCCTGGGGAGGTGCAGAGCAGATGAAAGCACAGGGCCCACACTTCCACTCCATCCTGCATCCTAAATGCTGCCCCCTGCCAACCTTGCTGCTCTTGAGAAGGCTCTGCCAAACTCATTCACCCCGAGATGCCAATGGCAGTGACAGGTCGAAGGACCCTCATCTAGGGAGCTCTCGCTGTGCCCAGCACACCCTGGGTCACCTTGGACTCAACCCAACCCCTCCTGCGAGGCAGGTGTGGGCACCACCCTGATATTACCCAAGAGAGAAACTGAGGCTCAATGAGGTCAGAGGGTTTGCTCAAGGGCAC